AAAATTAGCACTTAGCAACCCTTTGGTCGAACGCTTCCTTTTCATACTTTCCTTTTCGAATGCTTCGTGTTCTTTTTGAATCTGTTGGTCTTTTGATTCGAGTATGCGCTGCATTTGACTTTTTTCTTTGGACAAGTTAAGGAGATTGAGCTCTAACTCTTCTTTCTCCCTCTGGGTTTGCTTCAATGCTTTCTTCATATCATCTACCTCTTCTAAAGACATAGGAGTAATGATTGAGACCTCTTGCTTGTATTCGGGATCTATATCAAAAGGAAGCTTGATAATTTGTACCCTGTTCATAACCCATTGAGTGTAAGGCTCTTTTGCTACAACATTCTTCTTTTCAACTTTTCTTTTGTTAACCCGGTTCCATGCTCGAATAATTTTATTGAGTATCTCTCGATCATTTCTACCCATGTCATGAACGATCAATTGCTAGAGTTATTCATTCGAAGGCTTGTCTTCCAAAGGATGCCCTAGTTATCGTAGGGCCAAGGTAGAATTGTAGTTGATGCAGCCTTGTGACCCGATTAATGGAACATTAGGAAAATCCCCACAACTATAGACAATATCACTAATATCTAACTTTCTGTCATACCATAATACAAAGCTAAGATTGAGAGACCTTAACTTCTGAGGCCATTCATACCTTGTCAGATTCGGAATCAAGTAATCTTCCTTATAAAGATGAGTCATGAACCAGGAGTATAGCAATAGATTACAACAATTTAGGGTACCTATTTTCTTTTCGTACCGTGTATTAATGTCGTAGTAGATATCAGCAAGCAGAGCTTGAGTTAGGTATGTATTAAAAGTCTTTGTACCCCAAAATACACCGATGGTTGCAGGGTCAATATAGTCTACAGTGCACGAAAATAAGATAACACCAAATATAAGTAGCCCCTGACAGTCGACACAAGATTCTCATTCTTTACTATTTTCCAGATCAAGAGCTTTATTTTCCAGATAACACCTCTTAATTTCTCGCACTTCTCCTTCTTTTTTATAATTAAGAGCAAATTCAGGATAAGGTATTTTTAAACCTTCGGCCAGTATTTTGATGTCGACGATTTGCCCAATGCCCATATAAGCCTTCTCTTTGTAGAAATTTAGAATTCTGTCTAATTCTTCCAAGGTCAGAGCCAACTGAAAATCTTGAAATGTGAAGCATCTCAACGGAGGGTCATAAAACTGTACCATAATAGAAATAACTTCCAACTGCACTTCGACTTTGGTTAAGTCCAAAATATCTCCATAGCGACGAGTAAATGTTTTTAGAGCCCTTTTAGATAATCATTCTCTTATAGCTTTGATTTGGGCCACATCTGGCTTGGTAGCATTGATACAGATGAGTTGTTTTCCTTTAGTATTCATTTCCAGATACTCACAAAAAACCTTTGAATTTTTTTTATATATATTTCTTTTTCCCTATGGATAAGACAAACAAAAGCAAATGAGGGATGATGATTATATGAAATGTAAAAATATATGAACGTATGAGAAAAGGGATAAATGACGGGATTTAATTAACAATAACCCTTAGAAGGTAGGCTCTTAGCTTGGTTTTATGGATATTCTACCCTCACCATAAGGTAGTTTCCTTAAGGGTATCATGAATAACACTAGAAGGAAAGGCATAAGGGCCTCCCTTAAGTGGAGTCTCTTTGCAGACTGAAACTTTCGTCTGTGAGTCGTGAAAGGTCTTATCATGAGATTTTAGTTTGAGATTTATACAAAGAGCCATAGGCGTCATTCCAAAGTCCTACTTCCCAAGAGGATGTCTCTTGAGACGTATTTCTTTTGCGAAATTCCACTGACTCTAGGCGAAGTCGTCATATAAACTCATAGGTATAATGTATCCCCTTGGCTAATAGAGGCACCTTCTTTCTAAGGGTTTTTGAAAAAAAAAATTTACAAAATTAAAATCCCATCACAAATGAATAAAATATAATGAATAATAAAAAACAAAAAATAAGCAAGAAATAAATAAATAAATAAATATGAAAGAATAAAAACCTAAAAGATTAAAAAAAACCAAAAAACCTAACGGAGAGGCTTTTAAACCTATGGTTGGGTCCCCAGCAGAGTCTCCAGCTGTTGTAACTGGTTTTTAAAATAAGAGACGCCACCCTTAATTTTTATCCTAAAGGAAGGGAGTTTAAAGGAATAACCCTAAAGTTCAGAGATTCTAGATTTGGACTCGGTTTTAGACGAGGGGAAGATGTTAAGTACCCCTTGTCTACCTTGTTCACAAGGATACTAGGTTTAGAAGCGCGTTTTAGGAAATAGGGTTTTAAGTTTTATTAGGGGAACTCACCACGATTTTGATTGTATGCCTATGTATCCTCTTAGGAGGAATCAGAGTCTTTATTCGTAGTTCGCAGTTGATTTCTGTTTTTTATGGATTGCGAAGATATTCGCATTTTCCGCACGTTTAGTCCGGGTGTTATAAATAGTGGAGATTATTAGACTAAACACGCAGTCGATTTGAATAAATTCGTAATTCTTTTTGAAAATTGATTATTGAATTGATTTGATTAAAAGAAAAAGGTTTGTAGTTGGTTGGATGTTTTTTAATATGTTAATTATTATAAAAAAAAGAGTTATATTTAAATGCATGAATATAAAAACACGTTTTAACGCATAAAATAATATTTTTATGAATTTAGGAAATTAGAAAACATGTGATAATTAATTAAAATAAGTATAATATTTTAATAAGTTCAATATATATAAAAATATACATAATAGTTACTATAATGAAAAGTATAATATATAAAAAATATATATAATAAATATTATAGTAAAAATTAAAAAAAATATATAAGGAATTAAAAATTTTAAAAATAAATAAAAAAATGTAGGGGTGCGAAATGTATTGGGCTAGTAAAAGGTGGGGGTTCTAATAGAAAGAGCCTGAATTCAGATTTTGAATTCATGCCCAAAAGGTCAGGGGGTGCTAATTATAACACAATAGTAAAAAAAAAATATAGGGTGTTACGAGCATTGGGCTCGGCCCAATATGAACTTTAAGGAGTCCGCGTGGACTCCTTGTGGGGGGCGTACGGGGACACCGTGTAGTAGCATGATTTGGATTGCTTGATTTAAATCATGCGATGGTAATTGAGGGCTTACGGTAGGCATGATGGGGCGATTTGCATAGGATCAATTGACATAATATAATTTCCTTTTTTTACAAAAAAACAGAATTATAATTATTGTCAACTCTCTCTCTCTCTCTCAGCGTCCTTCCCTTTCTCTCTTATCTGTGTATTCAACGCAACTTAAACCCTACCCCATTGCGGTGGCCAACAAACTCTCCTCAACACCTAACACAACAACAACATGCAACCCAACAATGATCCCCAAACCCCAAACTTACAAAAACGCAAAAAAAATATTCCTAAGCTAAGTGCTTTGTTTACCTTCAACCACGATCTTTCTGAGTTAGTTTTGTCTGATTCTGGTGTTCTGATCCCTTCTCTTTCTCCTTGTGTCTGCAGGTGACGATGATGAAGAAGATGATGGTGGTGGTTGTGATTGAAGAATGACGGTGACGGTTCCAGCGGATTCAGGGTTTCAGATCTCGAAACCAAAATTCCAAATGAAGACACGAAATGCAAGACAACCTTTTCTACATATTGGTTGTTTTTTTACTGTAACGATTTTTTTCGCCTTTCTGTAATTTTTCTTCCTTGTTACAGTCCCCTTTCTGTAGATTGTCGTTAGGTTTTTATAGTGATTTTAGAAATTAGAATTTTAGGAAAGCAATGAATTTGTCTGTAGATTAATTCTTAGATTTGAATTAGGGTTTTAGAATTAGGAAATGTTTTGAAAATTGTCTGTGAATTAAGAACAATGCATTTAGTTTTGAACAACATTTAATGGACTTCCAAATTTGGCCGATTTTGTTTCTGCTATACGTTTTGATTTATGGCATGAACTTGGATGCAATTGTGGATTTTGATTTGTACAGTAAGCTTGTTTTTTTGTAACACAAACCCCATTCCTCTTGTTTCAATCTCAACAGTAAATGTTAGTCAATATTTGGACGGGCACGTTTGGATTTTGGATTGGGCCTTCTGGGCTAAAACGCCCAATAGAAAAAAAGGGCTCCTTATTATGTATTTTTTTTTTAAATCAGACTTCAATAATTGACAAAAAAAAATAACTGAACTGAGCTTAGTGTTTTGGGCTTGCATTTTGAAGTTGGACTGGGCCTGCGAAAATCTGCAATATTTCCTTTTAATAATAACCAACAACTATTTCCATTTTAATGGTTTAAAATATAATGTTTTAAAAAAGTTATCAATGATGTTTTAACAAAAAAACAAAAAGGAAATGGGCCAAAAGGTTTAGTTGCTGGGCCTGTTAGTTTAAAAGATTTCTTTAATAAACCAAACAAAATGATAATAATACTTACCAATAATTAGTAAAACAAACACAAGACTTCCAAAAAGAAAAGGTTTTTAAAACCAAATGTTTCATAATTCTTCACAAACTTAAATGGGCCTTGCAACTCTTAATTCATTGGGCTTCCACATAACCAACAAAACGAAATACTCTCATACACCCTTTCAACTTTTAAAGTCAAACGGGCCTTATCGCTTCTTAGATTTTGGGCCTCAACATAACTTAATTTCTTTTAAACACCCACTCCTTAATTATTTTGAAATGGACTAAAAAATCGCATGGGTCCTTTCTAATTAAGAAAGACCCATGATTTCTTTAAACCCCTTTTATGAACCTTAAACCCCTCATGGCTATAATGACTTAAAGATAGTTCTGAGAATTAAGAAATAGAAATTAGTATAGCAAATTTGGGATATGACAGTCTCATACTGGGCTTTTTCCCAGTCCATAGCTCATAAGGGGTTTTAGCCACTAGGTACTTTATTAAGGATTTAAACTACGGTCTTTAATGCTTCTCCCCAAAATGACTCTGGAAGAGAAGAATGACTAATCATACTCCTTACCATGTCCTTAAGAGTCCAGTTTTGTCATTCTGCAACTCTATTCATGTTGGGTTTTCCCGGTATTATGTATTGAGAAACAATTCCACACTCATCGAGGAAAAGCACGAAGGACCCTGGACTTTGTTCCCCTGACCCATCATACCGACCATAGTATTCACCAGCACTGTCAGATTTGACAACTATTATTTTCTTTCCAAGTTGAAGTTTGACTTCAGCTTTGAATGACTTGAACACGTCCAAAGATTGAGATTTCTCATGAATCAAATACATGTATACATACCTTGAGTAATCATCTATGAACGTAATAAAATATTGTTATCCATTCCAAGAACCTGTAGGGAACGAACCACATATATCGGTATGAATTAGTTCTAAGACATCCTTAACTCTCTCAACATGGGAATTCCTCTTGTTTGTCAGCTTACCCTTGATACATTGAATGCAAACTTGAAAATCGACAAATCAAGGGATCTAAGAATATCGTCTGGCATTTGCCTCTGAATTCTTTGTTTAGATATATTTCATAATCTCTTATTCAATAAGGTGGCAGAATTCACATTTAATTTTCATTTTGTACCATGTCACTCTATTTGCATTATTTTGTTACAAGGACATTCAATATCAAGCATATAAAATATGTAACCGACAACATTTGAATCATATGAGAAACTAAATTTATTATTTCTAAACGAACAAGTATAACTTGATTTGTCCAAAATAGAAATAGAAATTAAATTATGTCTAATAGACGGTGCAATAAAAGTCTCAATTAAATCCAAATAAAAACCGATCTTTAATAATAATCTAAAAGTCCCTATAACCTCAACTGCAACTTTATTGCCATTGCCCACATAAATGAATCTTTCAGCATCATTTAGCGGACGACTCCATAGGCAACCCTGCATGGACATACTAATGTGAGTAGTAGCACCAGAATCTATCCACCAAGTATCCTTAGGTACAGAAACTAAATTAATTTCAGAACAAACAAAAGTGAGAAAATTACCCTTCTTTTCACGCCATGCGACATACTTGGAACACTCCTTCTTCATGTGTCCAACTTTTTGCAAAAGAAGCAAGTGGTCTCCTTAGGTTGTTCCATTGCGTTTTTGTTTTGAGAAAAATTTCTCGCAGGTTTCTTCCTTCTATTCTGAAAATTATTAGCCAAGTGAGCACTTTCAATCTTCTCTCTCTTTAGCCTCTCTTACTCTTGCACACAGTGAGATATGGGATCATTTAGAGACTATTTGTCCTTTTGAGTATTGTAACTCACTTTGAACTGGCCAATGTGTTCCAAGAGAGAGATCAAAAGCAAGTGTACAATCAAATCCTCATGAAGTTCTAACTTCAATGCCTTGAGTTTTGATGCGAGATTAGACATCTCCATGATGTACTCTCTTATGTTCCCTTTACCTTTATAAACCATTGAAATGAGTTTGGAAAAGGTACTACTTGTCTCAGCCTTATCATTTTTAGCAAAGAATTGTTTCATAGTTTCGAGGAACTTCTTGGCGTTTTCACTCTCAGCAATTGAGCCCCTGATCATTTCAGGTATGGATCTTTTGATCATCACGAGTCACATTCGGTTAGATCAGTCTCATTTTTCTATTTTAGTTTAATTTGAGTTCTCAACAGTGGTGGTGGGATGCTCCTTCCTCAAAGATAAGTCTAAATCCATGCATCCAAGAACGATCTCCATTGATTTTTTCCAAGATTTGAGTTCATCCCACTCAGCATTGAGATAGAGTTAATCTGAGCAACAAAATTTGGAGCAGTGGCAGCATCAACTGAATCCATTTATAAGAATAACAAACATACAATAACATTATTAGGCATGCCAATTAACCATATAGACATGCACAATATTCTTTATATGCAAATTAGATAAGACATATATAAGATACCAAAAAACACCATCAATTTCCGATCTTTGATTGTAAGAACTAAATGTAAGTGGTACTCTCACGTAATCATCAAACATTAGTAATAAGTCCTCTCAGATAATGGATGCATTTGATATCAATCATTAATCATATGAATAACCTTGATAATTACTACATACTTACCATCACATGTATGCAAATTTTCAGCCAAACCGTGTCTTCCTTTTGGCCAATCATAACAGCTTGCATGAAAAATTACACATCACATCTTTTGTGATTTCGAATTAATCAACTTTACACAACATTGTTACTTTTGCAACTTGTTATTTTAACCGACCAAACCAAAATCAGTAGACAATTTGAATTTAATAAATTATATAGAAATGTCTTAAAATTCACACAAATATTTAACTTCAAATATAATATCAAAATTGTATGTTTACCTAATTCCTTAAAGATTTTATTTATATCATATACATATCGGTATCCGGTTAAAAATATAAAAAAAATTATTAAAAAATAAAGTAAGCACATTTAATTGTATTTGTTAGAGTCGCAGCGGAAATTTGGCTTCTAATAACAATATGAAATACAACCCTCACTAAAGTTGAACACGAAATAATGTAGTTAGAACAATAAACTTATATGAAGAAATTAAATGTCTAAGAAGAAAGATGAACTTATTGAAAAACTAATAACTTGTTACAATATGTATTGATTATATCTGTTGTGACAAACATGCTTCATTTTATAGTAATCCATATGCTATAAAATGAGTGAATTACATTACAGACAAGTATAAGTCGTTGCCTACCTATTATTACTCCCTATTTTTACTGGAGTGTATTGTATTGCATTAACCACATGTAATCTTTTCATATTTAGCTTTGCTAAATATTCCTTTAATTCCACAATTCTACACCTCGTTCATAATTTGAAATATTCAAATTTTGGACGAATATGGGATAATGTTTAACAAGTTCAAGTAGTGTTGGAACTTGCAACCTGACACAATCTTGGTTAACATGTCAGCTGGGTTCTCATCAGTATGCACCTTCGTAAGAGAAATATGACCTTCCTCTACGACATCCCATACAAAGTGATACCTTACATCGATATGCTTGGTTCGAGCATGATGAACCTGATTCTTAGCCAAATGAATTGCACTTTGACTATCACACATCAATCTCACACGTTCTTGCTTAACACCCAAATCACCTAGAAGACCCCTCAGCCACAATGTTTCCTTTACTCCTTCTGCTATTGCCATGTACTCGGCTTCCATAGTAGAGAGTGCCACTGTAGACTGTAACATCGATCGCCAACTAACTGGAGCACTGTGTATTTGAAACACATAACCAGTTGTAGACCGTCGTCTATCTAGATCACCAGCATAATCCGAATCAACAAACCCGCTTATTTGACATGTATCTCCACCAAAACACAAACATGTGTCAATGGTACCCTTTAAGTACCTCAAAATCCATTTCACCGCTTCCCAGTGTGCCTTTCCCGGATTCGCCATGAATCTACTAACAACACTTACCGCTTATGAAATATCCGGACGTGTACACACCATAGCGTACATCAAACTGCCAACTGAACTAGCATAAGGTACATTTTCCATGTTTTCCTTATCTTCTGCAGTAGTGGGAGACTGATTACCAGAAAGCCTAAAATGTGGAGCTAATGGAGTAACCACCGACTTAGTACCTTTCATTCCAAACCTTTCAACAACTCTCTCTAAATAGCCCTTTTGACTCAAAAATAGTTTTCGATTTGTCCGCTCTCTTCTAATCTCCATACCCAATATTTTCTTTGCAGCGCCCAAATCCTTCGTCTCAAACTCTTTACCAAGTTTAGACTTCAGCTTATCTATCTCTACCTTGCTTTTTGAAGCAATAAGCATGTCATCGACATACAATATATATATATATATATATAATCACCTCCACGAAGCTTCTGAATATAGACACAACTGTCATAACTACTACTAGAGAAACCTTGTTTTATCATGAAAGAATCAAATCGCTTGTACCATTGTCTAGGAGATTGTTTCAACCCGTAAAGTGATTTTCTCAAGCGACATACCTGACTCTCTTTACCCTCAACCTTGTAACCCTCAGTTTGATACATATATATTTCTTCATCTAAGTCTCCATGCAAGAAGGTTGTCTTCACGTCTAGTTGTTCCATCTCAAGATCACCATGAGCTACTAAACTTAATAGCACCCGGATAGAAGTATGTTTCACCACCGGAGAAAATATCTCATTGTAATCAACTCCTTCCTTTTGTGAAAACCCCTTGTCCACTAGCCTAGCCTTATATCTTGTACTGCATTACTTAGTATGATCTTCTTTTCTTTTATACACCCATTTACAACCAATAGCAGTCTTTCCCACAGGCAATGGGACCACCTCCCATGTCTTGTTCTTGTGAAGAGATTGCATCTCTTCCTCCATAGCAACCAACCAACTCTCTCTATCTTTTTTTCTTTGATAGCTTGCTTGAAGGTGACCGGCTCATCATCTTCAATTGAGAGTGCATATTCCACCAAGTTAACCTGCCCATAATGCCTCAAAGGTTTGTCTGACCCAAACTTCTGAACTAGTTTATAATTTCTCTTTGGCCTAATGGTATCCAAAGATTCCTGTTGTTGTTGTTGTTGTAACACATGTGTATTTTCCTGCTGAACCTCCTCATGATCAAGTTCATCCTCTTCCTCATCTTCACTAGCGATAGGATTCTCCACCTGACCACGACTAGAATCTGGTTGGTCTTTAGATTCTATCTCAATAACTTGCTTATTTGATATCGTCACATCACCATCGTTAGGATTTATAGCTTTTGACAAAGCTACCATAGATTTTTCGTCAAATGTAACATCCCTGCTAATCACAAACTTAGAATCTTCTATACTCCAAAGGCGATAGCCTTTGACCCCTGTTGCATGTCCTAGAAAGATAGCTTTCTTGGCTCTATTATCAAGTTTACTATTCTTGACATGATAATAGGCCGTGCATCCAAAGATTTTCAGTTTTTCATAATTAACATGTTCACCTGACCACACCTTATAGGGTGTGTCTCCACCTAAACTCGAATGTGGGGATCTGTTTACAACATAGCAAGCTATAGCAACCGACTCTGCCCACCATTCTCGACCTAACCCAGAATTAGAGCGCATACACCTCGCTTTCTCAAGAAGTGTACGGTTCAGCCTTTCCGTGACTCCATTCTGTTGTGGTGTGCCTCTGACCGTCCAGTGTCTAACAATACCTTCCCGATCATAAAACCTCTTGAAAGCTCCATCTGTATACTCTGTACCATTATCCGATCGCAGAGTTTTCAACTTTCTACTCATTCTGTTCTCAACCATTGCTTTCCAACACTTGAAAATATCAAATACCTCCTTCTTATTCTTAATAAAGTAAATCCAAGCATACCTCGAATGATCATCAACATATGTAACAAAGTACCTTGAACCACCCTTAGAAGTAACTGGAGTCGGACCCCAAACGTCAGTGTGCACGTAGTTTAATATTTCCCTACTTTTATGCTTGCTTGTAGAAAACCGCAACCTATGTGCTTTGCCATACACACAATGTTCACAAAATTCCATGCATGGCTTTTCCATGTTCTTTAGCAAACTTTTCTCACCAAGAAGTGATAGACCATTTTCAGACATATGTGACGAACCCCCTTCATCACAACCAACGAACCACGAACAACCTTTAAGCCTCCATTTTCCAAGATTATTTTGCAACTGTTTTCCTCTAATAGACCAAGAGAAATAAGGTTTTCCGCAAATTAGGGACATGTCTCACGTTCATCAAAGTCCTTACCACTCCATCATTCATCTTGATTCGTATTGTACCATACCCCAAAATTTTGCAAGCATGGTTATTCCCCATTAAAACTGTACCACCATCTGTGCTTTGGTAGGTAGTAAACCACTTCCTATTTGGGCACATACGGTGTGAAGCTCCTGAATCAAGCATCCATCTCCCAGAGATATCATGGTCTTGCTATGAGACAGAAAAACAATCATTCTCACCATTTGAGACATAACTCACCTCTTACAAATCTTATAGTTTACCTTTGGATTTGTTGTCGTTGTTGGTATAATTTTTAAATAATACCCTCTTATTTGGACAATTTGCTTTAAAGT